CCTGACCTCGTGATCCGCCCGTTTCGGCCTCCCAAAGTGCTGGGATTACAGGCTTGAGTCACTGCGCCTGGCCTTTTTTTTTGTATTTTTAGTAAAGATGGGGTTTCACTGTGTTAGTCAGGATGGTCTCCATCTCCTGACTTCATGATCCACCGTCCTCGGCCTCCCAAAGTGCTGGGAATACAGGCGTAAGCCACCGTGCCTGGCCTCTCCTCTCCTTTTTAAAGAGTATTTCCTTGATAAACCTTGTAATATAAATAATTTTTGTGCCTTTGATATGTATCTAAATCTTTTAAAAAGGTAAATGATCTTCTTGCCAACATTGCAACCCAGTTACAACCCAGGAATTTTTTTTTTTTTTTTTTTTTGAGTCATAATCTCGCCTGTCACCCAGGCTGGAGTGCAGTGGTACGATCTTGGCTCACTGCAACCTCCACTTCCCGGGTTCAAGCAATTCTCCCATCTCAACCTCCTGAGTAGCTGAGACTACAGGCACCTGCCACCATGCCTGGCTAATTTTTGTATTTTTATTAGAGACAGGGTTTTACCTTGTTGCTCTGGCTGATCTTGAACTCCTGACCTCAGGTGATCTACCTGCCTTGGCCTCTCAAAGTGTTGGGATTACAGGCTTGAGCCATGGCGCCCGGCCACAACCCAGAAATTTTTTTTTCTTAAGAGCCTGAGAGTCTTGTCTTTGAAATGTAAACCTCGAGGAAGATAGTGTCCGTATCCTCCTGTTGCCTAGGGAGTTTAGCCTAGGCACCTTGAGCTGTTACTACCTGCTCATCAAGGAGATATGAGAAGTTTTATTTTTTCATCAGATACAGGTAATTAACTAGCATGGATGGCCACCTTGATTTCCAGGTGAATTTAGGATGAGTGTTTAAGAATGCATAGCAGGCCAGGCACAGTGGCTCACACCTGTAGTCCCAGCACGTTGTGAGAGGTTGAGACAGGCGAATCACTTGAAACCACACAGAAATCGAAAGAAGGAGTTTGAGTCCGGCCTAGCCAATATGGTGAAACTCTGTCTCTACTAAAATACCAGTATTAACTGGGCATGATGGCACATGTCTGTAATTCTAGCTACTCGGGAGGCGTAGGCACGAGAATCACTTGAACCCAGGAGATGGATGTTACAATGAGCCAAGATCACACCACTACACTCCAGCCTGGATGACAGAATGAGACCCTGTCTAAAAAAAAAAAAAAAAAAAATTGCATAGCAAGTCCTTTTACATGAGGATGAGTTACTGTTTATCTTGAGAG